TAAATTAGGGGCTTTACCTAGAGTAGATGACCATTCACCTAGTCAAGTTGGGACTTACTCAATTGATTCTCTTTGGGTGGTTGCATGAGCATTGAGCCATTCAAATTGTGTACTTATGTGAAAAACCCATTTGTATAGGTTAGGAGTTACCCCTAGCAAAGGAATCCAAATGCATGATCATTGAATTGGTAGGTGTAGCTAGGAGGGAAGTTTGAGAGACGTGATCATTGCACCAACTCCCATATTAGTTATCCTCGCACCAAAATGGTCCATAGACAACTATTTCCAACCATTCCATTACATTACCTCACATAGGGTAAGGGAACCAAACCTCAGACACCGCTTCTTATCTCTTGCATTTGTATACTTTAGCTACTTAAATCTAAGAAACACCTAAATAATCGATTAGATAACAACCTAGCTCAAAAGTATTAACAACCTCTTGAAGTCCTTTGATTCGGTTGAACGGAAGTTTTTAGTCAAAGTATTAACAACCATGAGATTTCCTTCCCTGTTTATAAGTTGGCTAGAAATAAGTATACGATGACACGTAAAACATCCTATTTTTTACCCTTTATTATGGCAATAATTGCATGGTTTTCATATCTTTAGTTCCATTATCACTTGAATTGCTTAATAATTGCTCAAAATCATTTTAGTAGCTAGTGACACTCAAACTATAGTATTTATTACCTCCCATATTTGGTGCATTTCCCCTTCTATCAATGCATCTTTAGTATATTTTGATATATTATACAATCCATCAATCCATTAAAAATATTCAACTAATCCAATCCATTTAAATCCAATCCATTTGGATTGGTGGATTCATGGATTGGATCCATGGATCATTAGCAAATTACAATTTAGTACCTATAATTTTTATTTTTTATATTTTGGTACCTAAACTTTAATTTTTCATACAAAAAATATCATTGGAAATTACGCTTTGGCACCTTAAAATTTTATTACGACATTTTAGCACCTAAACTTTTCACATTTTACATATTGGTCTTTGGTTGAGGATGTCATTTGGATTCATGGATAATCCACCAATCCACTTGATCCAATCCATGAATCCACCAATCCATTTGATCCATGATCCACCAATCCAATCCACCAAACCAATCCATCTGCCACCTCTAATTATACATGATTTCATAACTATTTGATCAATGAGCTTATTTGAGACATAGATTGTGTTTTAGTATCTTTTTATGCATTTTTGGTATTGTATTGTGCTTTAAAAGGTAAAATTAAATTTAGAATGATTTGGATCACACATTGGATCAAGCTGGAGGATCAAAAGGGAAATTACAAGAAGACCAAGAAGGAATTAGATATCAAACGAGGTTCAATCAGGCCCGAACCCTTCAAGTCTTCGTATGAGCCCAAGAGAGCCCACTGGAGAAGTTTCAGCCCAAGCAGAGGAAGAACCAGCGATGGGTCCAACCACCATTGGGCCGCCGCCAACCAATACCTCACAAGTCTAGCCCAAATTTGTTGGAGAGGTTATGATGGTCCAAGCAACCCAATGGAGTAAGAAAACCACACGCCGCTTCTGGCAGCCGGGTGGCCACTGCCAGCCTAAGCCGCTTAGAAGGATGCTTGAAGCCAAATTCTAGAAAGAAAAAGCTTGAAAACTCCTCTTCCATGTACTTTAGATAGGGAGCTAGGTTGGAGAATCATCAAGCTCCAAAGAGATTCCTTCATCATCAATGGTGTCATATATCTCTTCTATGGTTAGCTAAGCTTCTCATTGTTTAGGGATGTGAGTTACGCTCTATGATGCTCATGTATTACTTTCTATGATTTAATGATGTGAGTTTGTCCATTCATGTTATCTTTTATCTATTATATGCTATCTTGATTTTGATTATAATATCATTGATGGTGTCATTTATATCTTCTATGGTTTTTATCTTATATGATATGCTTGATGACACTCTATTTATAGTGTTTATCACTCCCATATTTGATACATTTCCCCCGTATATTAGGCATGCCCCCATCATGGATTTACACTGGAGAGATTGCAAAGTACTTCGCCAAAGGCTTAGATTGAGATATCACAATGTTGGTAAACCAGTCGGCCAATGGAGATTTCAAATAACTATGGGAGTGTAATGCCAAAAACATTTCGACACAATAGCAAGAAAGTCAAATAAATGGACCAAATGGCCATTAACGATCAAACAATTGAAAGCTGCCCAAGGAAGGGAGGATGAAGTCGATACCCAAGGAAGGAGGGATGAAGTTCTCCACCCTTTGTGCACATATGAAGGGCTTGACCCAACAACTAAAGAAAGAATCAATGGATCAATGAATGGACTAGTGGCATCCCTATTCATTTTTAAAGCACGAGGAGAAGAAGGCCACGAAGGTGTCTACTGCTATAGCCATGGAGGGCAATGATATGATGATGTAAACTATATTAACCAAGAATATCAATAAGGACCTCAACAAGGAAAGTATCCTCCATATCAAAGATTCAACCAGCCTCACATACCTTATGGTCAATGGCTTGTCCCAATAGGAAAGAAACCCAAGGACTACCTCAACATTGCCTCTACCAATGCACTTTATGAAGCACAATGACAGAAGAAACCAAGTCCACATGCATTTGGAAACCAATCTCAATATAGGGCGCAAAGAGAAGGTGTCAAACAACCCGCCAGATTCGAGAAGCTTTAAGGAACGATGATAGGATTGCAAGCGAGCTACAATAATATCTAAAGAAAACTTGCACTCCTCATTGATGCTGAACCTCATAAGCCTCAAGGAAACCTCCCAAGCAACATAGAGAATAATCCAAAAGGGAGGAAGTCAAAGCCATCTCGACATGGATGGGAGTTTCCAAAAGTTTCCCGAACATTAAAAGGAGGAAGAGAAGAAAGGAGCTAAGTATCCATCTCTCTTCAGAAATATTATAGAAGCTTTTGGAGGAACAAAAGTGGCAGTGACAATATTGGAGAAGATGATTTCCATGAAAGATCTCCAAGGAGAAGAACCACAAACAATGAGCTCTAGGGGAGAAGATTGGAGTTCTAGTTGAGCTTGGATAACTCGAGTAGGAAGTTCAAGCGAGTTTAGGATTCTCCGTAGTATAAATCTCGAGTGAGAAAGTTTGGAGTGTCAGTCATTAGTCTAATATGTGGCTAGAGGGAAGCACTCTTGAGTGATTTTCTCTCAATAGATTTTAACTAATATTTACTTTCTTTCCTTGTTAGTTGATAGATTATACCAAACCTTGTTTTGCTAGATAACAAATAATTCACAAAGTAATAGTATACTTACCACCCGGTTTGATAATTAAAGCTTACTTCTGTTGTACTACACCCGATTGTTGGTTATAGTTGGCCTTTGGTTGGGATAGTAGTGTAGGCACGAGTCAATGCTTTCACGTTAGGTAACCACTCCTCCTTAGGTTTTCCCTTTTGTGACTTGGGTTGCTTGAGTGGTGAAGAATGAGAGGGATCTTGATCCTACATAACATTCATCACAAGTGGATACATGACATACTCATGAGGTGTAGTATTCTCCATCATCGTCTGACATTCCTCTAATTTATGGCTGGTGCTCATGCACCAATCACACTGCATTCCTTGGTACTTAGGTCGTTGCCAAACAAACCATCTATCCTATCCATCCTTATGATGAGATAATCAATCTTGGCTTCAAGAGAAGGCTGAGAATCAACCTGCAAGATGCCTCTTTCTATGGACCCCTTGCTTCTACGTGGGACTCCCCAATCATATCCTTGAACAACCATTTCTTCAAACAAGTGAGTCATATGTGATGGATACTTGTTCAACATTCCTTTAGCACATAAGGAATCAATAAGTTGAAGATTCTCTTAAAAGATGACATTGTAGAAAGTCGACACCTTTAAATAATCATCAAATTTGTGATGTGGGCACTTCACGAAAAAGGCTAGTATACCGTTCCCACGCATCACGTAGTGTCTCATCCTCCTGAGCAAAATGGGTAGTCTACTTTTGAAGTTAAGAAGTCTTTGAACAAGGGAAATAACTGACCAAGAACATCTCTATAAGATCAATCCATAAAGTGATGGAGGGTGGTTGTTCAGCTACTGCATGCTATTGGCCTTGATTCCATATGTAAACTCCATGAATCTGTGGATGTGTTCCTTTGATTCTTCATTCTGTAGCCCTAGAATTGAATGGCGTTCTTGATCTCGAAGTTATTGACAAAAATTTGTGGGTGTCCAATGTTGGATTTAATTTCCTCGACCTTGGGGGTAGAGTAGGACCCCATTGTCCTCTCTTGCTCATTAGTTGGTTGTTCTCCATGAGGTTGTGCATCTCCCATGGAATCGACCTTGACTTGTAATTCAGGAGGCTTCTGGTCCACTGCTTGCTATAAAGCTTGCCTGTGGTCCCTCTGCCACTTAAGTTCGCGTAAGGTCTAGTTGATGTTGTCATCCAATGACAATAAGTTATCTGGTTGGCTACGGGTCAGGCACTACTTGCCACACACTAATCAACAACCATGAAACGCGCAAGGGAGAGAAAATAAAAAAGCAGAAAATAAAACTCAAGTAACAAATGTTCACTTTCCTTGTATTTTATAACCATACCTGACAATGACGCCAAAAACTCACTCCAATCAATGGCCAAGTAGTATAATGGAAGTAAGCTTTAATTATCAATCCAAATCCCTAGAAGTACTATTATTGAGTGATGACTTGTTATATAGCAGGTTGGTTGTGAAAACAATTAACTATAAAACTAAGAAATCAAACAAAGTTTATTCCGGTTTGAAATATGATGAAAGTCACTCAGATATGATCCCCCTAGCTCAGATTTAGGTCGATGTCATTTATTCCGTAGTTTGTTTCACTTGATATTTTTACTGTGGGGAATCCTCTACAAATCTTGAATCTCGATTAAAGTAGACAAGGCTCTCTTAAACAGATTGTATAGTGGGACACTATCCTCAGATTCCTATAAATAGTTGGAGACCACTAAGAGGTCAAACCAAGACATATTTACACAACTGTTAGAGAGAGAAGTGTTTTTCTCCGTTGAAGATGAGGAAACCTAGAGGAAGAGAAGAGGAGCAAGGGGAAGAAGATTTGAAGCTAATCTCCAACATCCGAGAGACCTTCCCCATGTTCTTCCTCCCTTATTTATGTGTTTCTCTCCCCTTCATGGGGTAGTTTTCTAAGGTATTTGGGACTAAGTTTCCCAAACCCTAACCGAGGTTTTATGTGTAATTGGATGACTTATTTAATCTATGGTATGAGTTTCGTTTAATTGATGTTCTTAATGCATTGTTGCATGCATTAGTTAAACATGGTTATCGATTGCATGTGTTCATTAGATGTGACAATGATCTATTGTTGCATGAATTAATTAAACAATCGACTAGATAACTACCTAACTTGTAAGTAGACAGTTTATCGGTATCGTGGAATACGATCTCGGTCACTATTATACCACTTTGTCTAACTAGGTTATACTTGTTCTAGTTAGGATAGGTGAATAGAGTCCATTGAGTTTGTTACTTGTGTGTGAGCAGATACTATCACAATTCACAACCATATATAGATGGGAAAGGCTAATGATTGTTATCAAACAAAAGAAAAAGTAAATGAAAAAGATGAGAAAAATACATCACAAGTTGAATTCTCCGTTACTCTATTGGCTGCTAGCTACTCGGGCTTTGTAGTCTTTTGTACTTACCAAAACGCAGGAGAATATTAAAGAAATAAAAGAACATTCTCTGAATAGCCATATTGAAGGTGCGGTGCACAAATGTTGAGAAGAAAAAGTGGGAAAATATTTTTCTAGAGGCAACAATGTATGCAGTTGTATTGATTTGATCATGTGCATGTTTACTGATTTGATAAGATCGTATGATTAAGAGTGTAATTAGATAAGATTATTATATTTGTTTGTCTGTACTTTTGTTTCATACTGGTAGAAGCCACTGAAACGGGGGAAACGATGCCGCATAACGTGCAAAGCTGCTGCCTCCCTCTCTGTGCAACGGGGAAAAAGAAAACAGACTCAAAGCAGCATAAAACGCGGCCTCTGGCAGAAAGGCAAAGAAAGAAAGAAAAAGATCAACTACTACAACAGCAGCAGCTGAGCTGAGAGAGGAGTGTGAAGCAGCCCAAAATAGTGAAAAAGTAACAAACAACAACTTCACTTTCTCTCTTCTCTTCTCTTCTCATCTACTTTCACACTTTCCCTTCCCCTTGGAGCTTCACTCTTCCGCCTCTCCCTACTCAAAAAAGGTTTCTCTTCTTGCTCATCTATTCTGCTGTTTTACTTTGATCAATGCAATTCCTCAAAGTTTTCACCTTGTTTATGCCGAAGTCTTCAATTCTCTTTTTTTACATCGCTGTGTTTTGTGTTTATCTAGGTTTCCTGTTTGGCAGATTGTGTTGGTGTTTTTCTTTTAAAGGTTGAGAATTTAGGGAAACAATGTTGAAGGGTTAAGAGATTTTCCCTAATGAGGTTAACAGATCAGTGCATAATAGCTCAGAAAATACAGGGGAAAAAGTTCAATGCTCGTGCCTTGCCTTGTTTGTTTGACGAGCGAGAGAAATACCATAATGTTTTCATGGGCGTTGAAGAGTTTTGATGTCTGTGTTGGGGCTGTATGGGCGAGGAAGGAAATTTCCCAAGCGTCTTTTTTTCTTTTCATCCTTTCTGTTTTTGGTTTGTATTCCTCTAATTTTATTCAAGGTTTTGCCCTCTACGTATGAGCATGAAAACGAGATGGAGGACGTAAAGAGCTCTAGTGCTTTTATTATTATCTTGGGCTAAAGTCTGGAAAAATGTTGTTGATAGTACATTCATTCATGGTCTGGGCTACCAATGCTGCCTGTAGTTCCATTCAGCTCGGCTGTTCACTGTACCCTTAGTCTGGAAATTAATGGCGCGCCTGTGAGTAAAGTGGTTTTTTTTTTTATCATGACTGGTGCAGGGTTTCTCACTGAAATTGGAAGTGTGAGTACTTATGATCTGAATCCCAGTCGTCTTACATTGATTGTCCTGGGGAGTAGTGAAACTGTGCTGGTACTGTGGCTGCTCCAGCATAAGAGCAGTAGTGAATCATGTAAGAAATTGTGACCTAACAATGTTATTTATTTGGGTTGTGATCTCTTTTTTGTTTATCATGTGGTGGAATAACTGCATACTTCATTCTGTCTTCCTTCCTCCAGATTGATTGATTGGATGGTTAACCTTTGGTTGATTTTGCAGCTATTGCTTTACTGAATTCTTATTCAAGATATTGTTCCAAGATGAATGATAACAGCCAAACCGAGCTGCATTACACCAATACAGGGTTTCCTTATGCCGCCACAGAAAGCTTTATGGGTTTCTTCCAAGTGCCAGCCAATTACACTCATACCGAACCACTTCATGATCATGTATGTTGCTTTTCTAATCCAACTTGCATATTTATAGGATAAATGTAGGGTAATACAATGAATGGCATGAAAAGAGTCCTTCGATTTTGTTGGCTACTAGTGACAATGGTCAAATTGCTGACTGTTGAATTCTGGGACCTCTATGTGCTTTCAAGACAATGTAGATGGGTGGAATCCATTTAGTTCTGTAGTATGGTTTGAGATTTTTGCTAGATTTTCAACTGTCTTGCTTCTGAAGTGATGATTTGAGGCAATTTTCTAAGCTTTTATTTGCTTTGGTTACGTGTAGGACAATTCATATTGGTCGTTGAATATGAATGCGTATAAATATGGATTTTCTTCTGGTCCAGAGAGCACTTCTTATTACGACCATTATGAGGTGAATGAGAATTCACCAACAGTGGATGTTACCAGGAGAGCTTGGGAGTACCCTTCTGTGGCAAATGCCCAAGAGTCCACAACACAAGTGCATTCCGAAGAAGAAACAACGGTCACAGATGTGAACACTATACCTGAAGACTGTGAGTCCAATGATGATATATCTCCTATCCTAAGTTGATTCTGAAGAAGTAACAAGTGTCTATAGTGTATCTTTTTTCTGTCCTGGATGGACAGAAGCACTTTAGATTGATGGTATAAGAATGAAGGGTCTTTTTTTATAGGGAAAGTAAGGTCAATGTGATTACTAATGGCTGAAAAAGCTGAAGCTGATTTTGAAATAGCTTTAATGCTGTCTGAAACTCATTGTCTCCTGATCAAGAGTATTTATGGTGTTGCCTGTTGAAGGGTGATCATGAGACTTACTGCCTCTACTGTTTGGCTCTCTGCTTTTGTAGGCATATCAGATAATCCAGGAAGTACTAGTCCCCAGGTAAGAAAGAAGCTCTCTTTCCTATCTTGTTCTTTGAGATTTTCTAATCAATGATTTTATATCCCAGTTGCTCACATCACAATCTAGAATTGATTGATTCTCTCCGCCTCACAATCCAATGAAAAGGATAGTTGCCAACATTCAGTTTACGCTGCTTGTTTTTTTTGGCAGGACCTCTGGCAGGATGATATTGATCCGGATAACATGACCTACGAGGTTTGCTTTTTATACCCCTATCGCATTTATTGCTCATAATAATGGTACAAACTCGAAAGGTCCATTGTAGATGAATTATTCGTAACCCTTGGCATGAAACAGCCCTGTTCTATTTGCATGTTGAGACTTATGGATAAGGTGTGCTGCAGGAACTACTTGACCTAGGTGAGGCAGTAGGAACTGAAAGTAGAGGTCTTTCCCAGGAACTCATCAGCATGTTGCCAACATCAAAATGCAAGTTTGGGAGTTTCTTCTCGAGGAAAAAGTCCGGAGAGAGGTGAGTTTGCTGCCAAATCTTCTTCCCTCCATTGGAACTTTTGGCCTCATTTCTTGCTGAGAGTTGATTATTTGATTACCTCTACCAGGCTGTCACTAGAGAGTTGATTATTTGTTTCATGCTATTTAGTTGCATTATTGTGTCCCTCACAATCTTCTGTATCAATGTACATTGCCTTTATCTTTTGGTGGCTTTGAAGCAGATGCGTGATATGCCAGATGAGATACAAACGAGGGGAGAAGCAGATAAAACTGCCTTGCAAACACATTTACCATTCTGAATGCATCCGCAAATGGCTTGGGATCAGCAAGGTCAAAGCTCACATTCACTACTATGTTGTACCTGGCCTTTCTGATTGATTATCTCCACCTCTGTGACATTCTGTAATATGATCTTGTAACATGTTTCTTCAGGTCTGTCCCGTATGCAACAATGAAGTCTTTGGCGAAGAACCGAGGTAGTAGAACAACACATCATTCAAACCAAACCCCTGTGCAACTCAGGCTGCCTTGGTCTTTCATTAATCCTCTTTTTGTTAGGTTTTCTCCTTTCCCTTTTTGGGGTTCAGTTTTTTGGATGTCTTGGTTTTGTTTTTCCACACGTAGAGTTTAGTAAAGAGGGATTAGTAAAGGGCGATGTTCTCTTTCTTTCCCCTTTATAGGAAGTCCTTTTTGGGTAAAGGCAGTAGGCTCCCTTGTCAATGTGAGGTAGAGGACTGGAGGATTTATTAAGCCAGGTACGGAAGAGGCAGCAAAAAGCCAAAACGAGAAGAAATGTGGAGAATCAGAAAGAGCGGTAATTTGTGTACTTAACCCTGATCAAGTACGGATTTTTGCAGAAGCATAATATATTTAATTAAAGCTTGTCAGTCACGCTGTTATGTTGCTGCTGCTGGAGCTGAGCTGGTTGCCGGTTGGTACTTCTCTCTTGTAAATGGAAAATGTAGGGCAGGGGTGGGCAATGTGCGGGTTGTGTGGTTTTGGTCTCAAATTGACCCACTCGCTTAATAGCGAGTTGGAATAATTGTGACCCGCAATCCACACACATATTTTTGCGGGTTGGGTTGAGTGGCTGGCGGATGGATGCGATTGGGTCGTGGGTTAACCCGCAAAAGCAATTCTCCAACTAGCTATTAGAAAAGTTGACTATCATTTATAATAAGTTTATAGCAAATTAGTACGATTGTATCAATAACTTGTGATTTTGATACAATTAATAATTTATACTTTGCATCCCAATATTTAATGGATATTAACAATAATTTGCATACCAATATCCAATATCTAATGAATATTGCACAACACAATAACCAATAATAGTAGTCAAAAGTTAGATCACACAATTCGTAGGCCTTAGTCCCACGCTCCCGCTCTAAAGCGCAGTTTGAAGAGAAATTGTTAAAAATTTGCTGATTTAATTTTATTAGACCGCGAGTTACTGTGAAAAAATCGCGAACTGTTGATACAAATCTCAACTTCACCGCCGTTGACACCCAGAAACCACCATCGCGTTCATCGCCAACAAGGTTACGCCGGCCGACGACCCTCTTTCTACTCCCTTCTGTCAACTGAGACCAAGATCCAAAAATAAAAGGGGTTATAACCCTAATATTTTCCCAAATCAGAATCTAACCAAAAAGATAAACATGCATGCCTCAAAAGCCTCCTAATTAGCAATTCTCCGGTCATTATCGCCATTAATGAGAGAAGAAAAAGTAGATTCAGATCTTAATTTCATCATTTTCATCCTCTGTAGATGAGAAGAAAGTCGATGGTAATTGGTATGCATATGAAGAAGGTGAGAGAGGAGATTGGAACCGTTTGGGTCCTTTGCTGATTTGGAGAATGAACAAAGAAGAGGAAGGTAGCTTGAAATTGACAGAGAGGCTTAGAGCATCTCCATTGTGCAATTGCATTTGTAATTTTTTTTTACACAATACTATTTTTACGAGCAAACTCATTTGACTTTCATTGTACCTACACTGGTGCAATTCACTTGCAATTGCATATGAGGTCTAACTTTTTTTTTTGTCATGCATAAAAAAACATTTTTAAATATCTTTTTATCCACGTGGCAAATAAATAAAATAAAATTTTAATTTAATTTAAACGAAATATATACAATTAATGCATAAATTTTTTTATTACTAATTTATGTAGACATTTTGGTCTAGAGAATGGAATATAAAGAATCTACTACTCAATAATTACTCAATAATTTTTTATTACTAGCACAATATTCAAATAGGACACAAAAATAAAGTCAAACCTTATATCTAAAATTTTAAATGAAATTGGATTTATCAACGAAGACTGTAGCACAAAGGAGATTATATGAAAGGAAAATTAACCAGCTACTCGAAGATGAGTGATTTATATTCATTATTTTGATATTTGTTTTGTTTGGATATAGCATTTCTTATTATATTTTGTAGTTTAATTTTTATGCATTTTAAATTTGGAGTGTACTATGACAATGAACATTAAATAAAATAATAAGTTAACATTTTCAAAAAGCAATATAATAACGTTGTTATTTGTATATATGAAATTAAAGTTATAAAAAATAACTTTTTCTATTTATATTATTATGTATATTTTATTATAGTTAATAAAATTATTATATGATGCTATTTACTCCCATTGGTACAGTAATAAACTAATTTACACACATTGTTCATGAAAATTATCCAAAAATTTTCAATAAAAATTAGGACTATGCCAAACAAAGGCACACGTTGGCAGTGTGAACTAAAAGAGAGAAAAAAAAAATGTTATGCATTTCCAGCGTGGCTTGCAATGGGAATTGCAACAAATGAAAGATACCATTTTTGCAATCACAACTTCCAACGGTGTAATGGAAAAAAAACAATTGCATCCCTCTGCCACATCAAAGTGCAATTGCAATGTGCAATCCAGTTGGAGATGCTCTTATGAGGCGGCTAAGAAAAAAACAAGAAAGGATAGTTTGTTAGGATTCTGTTTTAGTGCTACAAGCCTACAACTGAAGTCTGAAGATATACCCTTGTATTATTGACCGTTTTGCCCCTTGTACGTCTTCAAAACCCACCTCCTACCACCGTTCTTCAAAAACAAGAAATGTAATAAAAGTATAAATTATAAAAGAGTGGCCAGGTGAATATAACCAAAAACTCCAACTTGAATAAAAGCTCCATGCTTTAATCTTTATCATAATTCATAAGAAAATATTTTTATATACATAGAGAGATTAATTAATAATAATACAATATTAACGCTCTATCTACGCTCTCAACTCTGAATTCTATAAAAATTGACGCTCTAACGCTCCCGCTCGCGCTCTTGCTCCACGTTCTGGTAACTGATAGACCGTTAATTGCACATGTTTTTACCCCTATTCTTGAGCCGTTTGAGATGTTGATTCTCGTGTTTTAGGCCGATTTCACGCTAGGTTGTGCTTTTTTGTGATATTTCAGGTCCTAGTACGTGAATGAAGGTTTGGGAACGAGTTCGGGGTCGATTGGACGAAGTTTGGACGTTTGGCGAGAAGCTGAGAAGCCACACGGGCATGCCTAAAAGCCACACGGCCGTGTAAGGGAACCCATGTGGCCGTGTGGAAATTTCAAGGAACTCACACAGGCATCCTGGAAATCCACACGGCCGTGTGGTTGTGGCCGTGTAGGATGGCTGGAAATCACTTAATCGAAACTCGGCGTTTTGACACTCATACGAGCAGCTGGGACAGCCACACGGCCGTGTGGCCTATCCGTGTGGTCGGGATTTTCTTGGTTTTAACCCAAATTCGAGCAAAAAGAGAGGGAATTGAATTTTTGGAGCAAAAACAGAGCCCTAGAGAGAGAAAGTGCGAAGAACACCTCCCAAGAGTGGTTTTGGAGCTGGGTTTCATCAATCAAGCTTGGAAATCATCCTTGGAGTGAAAATCATCATCTCAGAGCATATTTTCCCCATTGTTATGAGTATGACTGCTTTGTTTGTTGTTTTCCTCTCTCTCTCTCTCTCTCTCTCTCTCTCTATGGAGTAGAACCCCCTCTCACTTGGGTATGAAGAACCCTAGTTCCATGTGTTAGGGATCTTGATTGTAATGACTTGGGATTGTTATACTGTTTGGTTTTAATCGAATGATGCATGATTTATTGAATCAATTGAAGTTTGATCATCTTTTCTTGATTTCTGCTGTAACCTGAGATAGATAGAATTTGATTAGGTTGTTAGAGCTTCATCATCCGATAGTGGTAGATTGGTTATACGAGAGTTAATCAATCTACTGCTTTGTAATGGAACCCAATTCCAGTAGTAGAGTTCTGTGCTTATTGCCTCAGCTTTCTATCCCGGTGAAGACTAGTCGTCTGCCGGGTAGTTGGACTGAGAGGGCTTGGTCAGCTTAAGAGATTCCAAGCTACTGTCGGATCTTCCGCAGTTTAATCAGCAGTAAATCAAACCAGGAAAATTACAACTGAGACCTAACTAAGGAGCTAGGGGGACTCATTCCCGAGTGACTCTTCCTTTGCTTCAGAAAACCGAACCATTTCCTGCTTTCTTACTGCTTTTAGTTAAAACCACAACCAATCGACTTAGTTGGCTAGATAATAGATATTCACGGAGTAGGCAGTAGATCTAGACCCCGGGTTGATAATTAGAACTTGCCACTTTACTGCATTCCCAGACTGCGATTACGCTTGGTCGCAGTTTGGTGTTGTGTCGTAGCGTGTCAGTAACCTAAGTCAAAACTATTCTTTATTCTCTACCTTTTGAAGCATATGGTCAGACTGTTGTGCGGTTTGAAAATATGATGAATATTCGATACTATAAGAAACAACATTTTTTCATGCCAAAATAGGATGCGGGTCATACGGGTGACCCGCAATCCACCCACCACCCACCCACATAAGTGCGGGTGGGAGATGTATCAATCCACAATCCAACCACATCAATCACCCACTGTTTGCGGGTCGGGTTATTTGCGGGTGGATCGATATCAATCCGCGGAATAACCACCCACGTGCCCACTCCTAATGTAGGGAGTTTATTTTTTTTTTCTTTCTTTTTAGGGTTAATATATTTGTTTGGAAGATTTGGCCAAAAGATTCTCTCTTCTCTATGATTTACGATCCTAGGACTTTGATGGTGATCGTCGCTGACGCCTCACGGTGCCAAGTCGGGCGCCGTTAGTGGTGGTCGGTCGCAGGGTGGTCGTTCGGTTATCGGTTACCGGTTACCGGTTAGAGGTTAACCGGTTGGTTAAACTGATAACCGGTCAGTTATTCACTAACTGGTAACTGAAGTAACCGAACTTCGGTCGGTTATCGGAGGCTGGACAAATTGGTTTTTGATCTTAAAAGTGGTTCGGTTAACCAATAACCGAGATAATCGAGAAACCGAAGCCTATTTCGGTCGGTTTTCAATAGGGGTGGTGGTTATTTCGGTTAACCGATAACCGGGTGATCGGTTACCGGTTATAACCAAAATAACCGAATTGCCACCCCTAGTCGGTCGTGGGTATCTCTGTTCAGTATTTCGGAAGGTTGGTTCCAGTTCTATGAGCCGGAATTTGTGAATGGGTTGTTGTGCATCTCTTAGGCAGGGGATTGACGAAGGAGCTAAAAGGTGGGTTGATAGAAACACAATTTTCGTGTTTTATCGTAATTATCATTAATAGTATTTATTAAGATATTATTAGAGATGACTAGTAGTCTTTGAGTCATATTAGAATAGTCTATTAGGTTTTTCCCGTCTTTAGCAATAAAATATGTAATTTGGGTCTTTGGTTCAATTAAGAAGAAATTAATAAAAGAATTATCTTCCCAAACCTTAAACTCTCTCTATCTCCTAATTTCTTTTCTTCCCTAATCCAAGGCTTCGGGACTAGATAGTGTG